CATCTGATAATCGTGCACGCCTATAGAGTCCGATCATCGCTCCCCGCGCCTTTATTGGTTCACATTTATTAATTCATATCTCAATAAATATTGCGAATTTTGCAAAATGGTATATAACTTTTCTGTTCAGAATAACTCGATCTACCTACACACGTCGGCTTAATAGTTCATTGTCAGACACCCTGTATATACATATAATTGTATCTTTTTTATTGAATGAGAAATTTCTGTAAATAAGTTAAATAAACTAAATTAATGCAGGTTATAAAAGCAATGTTTTCTATTTTTAATACTATAAGATAATATATTTTTAATATTAAGAAAATATAAATCTAATATATAAAGATGTAATAATAATAATATGTAATTTATATGTAATAAATATATGTAATTTCTCAACCGCTTTAATTAATTGTGTATAAGAAAGTGAGTGGCAATACGACCAAGCACCAAAAGTTGCTTTTTTCAATCAAATATTCTTTTTAAAAAATGTATCATCTTTGACTTGAATCTATATAATTATTTTTATTTATTTAAAACATCACAAAAATATATTTTAAAGTTGCTTCTCTCTCAACGTTAACAAATCTTCTTAATATGTAATTAATGTTCTAAATAATAATTATTTATTTACTTTTGGTTTAATTCAATGTTTAAACTTTTTCAAAATAACATAATATAATTTATTATAAAAATAGAAAAGTATAGAGAAAAAAGGAGTGAAAAATATAAAATATTATAAAAACAGTTTTTTTCAAGTTCTATGAAAAGTAAGGAAAAGAAAAAAGAAAAAAGAGGATAAGAAAAACATTTAGATTTATCTAACTGCTTCATGTGAATGCATATAAGAAAATGTGTGGCGATATGAGCAATTATTAGAAAATTGCTTTTTGTAATCAATTCTTGTTTCTAAAAACTATATCATTCTTTACTTATATGTATGTTTTTAGTTATTTAAAAAAATTACAAATATATCTAAGAGTTTGACTCTTAAGATTAAAAAACTACTTAATATGTAAGTACGTTTCTTAATATGTAATTAATAAATAGTAAGTAAATAATAATAAGTTTTTAATTTTAATTTAAATTAATTTTTAAACTTTTTGTCAATATAAAAATATAAGTTATTATAAAAATAGTAGATTACATTAAAAAGAAACAAAACAAAATATAAAATATTATAAAAAAAAATTTTTCAAAAGTTCTAAAAAAAGTGAGGTAAAGAAAAAAGAAACAAGAGAAGTAAAAAGAGAAAAGAAAAACATTCAATCTTATCCACTTGGTTTAGTTAATTCCATATAAGAAAATAAGTGGCAATACGAGCAATCAACAGAAAGCTGTTTTTTGTAATTTTTTCTAAATATAAATTAAGTATTTTATTTTAATTTAATTTAATTTTTAAACTTTTTCATTATACAATTATAATTGATTGTAAAAATAGTTAATTATATAAAAAGAAGAAGAGAAAAATATAAAATATTATGAAAAATAGAACATTTCACAAGTTCTATAGAAAGTAAAAAAAAATAGAAAAGAGAAAAAAGTATTAAAAAGAGTTGGAAAATAAGTCAGTGAATATTATATTTTCTACATGTCAACGGCAATAAACATAATACTATGCATAACTTTTGAATATTATGATGTTCACATATGTATATATATAATATTCATAAATGCATACCTTGTTTTCTTAGGGGATTGATTTTTGATCATTTTTTGAAACTGTAGCTTTAAGCATATTCAATCAATAGTCACGTATATATATTTATATATTTGTTGTATTTATTAAACAACTAACAATTTGAAATAACAGGAGAAATAAACTGTTATGTTTTTTGATGTTTACAAAGAAATTAATGAACTTGTATTTAAGAACTGAATTAAACTATTTGAATTATGATTCAAAATCACATATAACAAAAGTCAGTTTAAATATGAAACATATTTAACATAAAGTAAATATTTTTTTAGATTAAACATAAAACATTCCTTGCTGTTAATTAACCTAGAAAAAAATGTATAATATACATAAATTACATAAACTTATAATAAATATGTTTATGTTGATTTTTATTTTTTATTTAAATATATACAAATATTATGCAATTTATACATACACGTAATTTAAAGATATATATGTGTATATGTAAAAACTCTTAGTGGAATATTTTGTAATAATATTGTATGTAATAATAACTTTATGGCTAATTAGCTCAGTTATAGCATTAAAAAATGAAAATATTCTAAATATTAAGTAGTCAATATAAATGAAATAGTTTTGTTAAATATAGAACATATCTTCCTGTTAATTGACATTATAAGAAAAGATTTTAATACATAAAAATTAACTTAATGAAAACTTCAAGAAATATTTTTTATATTTCAAAAGTAGTTATAATGATATTATTATGTAAATAAAATTTGTATTACTTACATTATTTATATTTATTTTTATTTTGTATTTAAATTATTATATACAACTTATTTTGCTTGGTACTTCTGAGCAAGTATTAGCGTTAATTCTTTTTGTAATAAGTTTTGTGCCTTGTAAACGCTGCATGAAAGACATTGTTTAGCTCTTATTTATTAATTTTATGTTAGACATTTTGTCTACATCCAAATATAAAATATCGTCTATAAAAAATTAAATTTATAATGATAATGAAAGGATGTAATTATTTTTACAAACCTCAAAAGTTAATGTTTTATAACTAACTTATATTTTTTACATATCCTTTGATTTTAACTTCTTGTCCTTTATCAAAATAGTTTCTATGTTCATAATCTATGACTTGTATATCTAACTTATAAGTACCATCGGTGATGAATCCAGAGCCATACGTTTTATAGTTATTGGAAAATGTATGTAAATTAGTTTTTATAAAACCACGTACAACTGAAATATATGTAGCTATATCTTTGTTAACTTTTGTCTATACGCGCCTTCAATTATATTTACTATCTGGACAAGTCGCTCTTTTAAAGGAATGACTACGTCAAGGTGAGCCACAAATTAGTTCCTTTATCGTTTATTCTTTTTTTTATTGTATAAATTCATCACTTTATGTATTCAAATGGGCATTTTTCAGTTAATAGGCCGCTGTTTCAAGGCCGCTTTAATAAGTTTAGTGCCGGAGATGCCGAAAACCATTGATATTGGAAGACCAAACAGTTCGCAACCATATCTGTCTGCTTTCATGCTTGTCGAGTTTCTTATCAACATTGCTAGTAGTTCCAGTATGTGTGCATTATATACTACCATGATCAAAAAATAACCGGAATTTATTCATAAAAAGAAAAGTACATGTTTATTCTTCAAAATTCAAGTTGTCCCCTTCAAAGTAGTCCCCGTCAGCTGCGATGCACTTGTGCCAGCGTTTGATCCACCTCTCGAAGCTTTTCTGGAAGTCGGTTTTTGGTATAGCCATTAGTGCCTCCAGCGATTTTAGCTTTATTGCCTCCACACTCTCAAAACGAGTTCCTCGTAGTGGTTTTTTGAGTCGATCGAATAGGAAGAAGTCACATGGTGCCAGATCAAGTGAATTGGGCGGTTGTTGAATGGTATTGGTGTTGTTTTTGACGAGAAACTCACGAGAATTTTTGCACGAAATTCAGTTCTTTTGGCACCAATCTCGCAGTAACTCGCCTCAGACCCAAATCCTCACGCAAAATGCTCTGAACGGATCCGAATGATATGTTGGTGGTCTCAGCTATCTCCCTTATCGTCAATTTGCAATTTTCGATTAACAATTGTCGGATTTCATCGACGTTTTCATCAGTTTTCGATGTCGATGGCCTCCCAGGACGAGCATCGTCCTCAACAGCCTCACGACCACTTTTAAAGCGTTCATACCACTGGTACACCTGTGTTTTCAATAGAGTATCGTTACCATAACACTTTTGTAACATTTAATTTCATTTTTATAGCAAAATTTAATGCAAGAACGTTGTTCAAGTTTTGAATCCATTGTAAAAATCGCCGCGACGTAAAAACTTGATGTAAAGAAATCACTGTCATAAAGGTAAATAAACAGCTGATAAGCAGAAGCTTGGCATGGGTGTCCGTAACAGTGCTGTCAACGTGACACAAACAACAGAATTCTAAACCAATAAGCCCGCAAGATTTAAATTAAAAATTCCGGTTATTTTTTTATCATGGTAGTATATACCTTACACATTTCGATTGCACACAATTGTAAGATTGATATATTATTTTAGGATAATCCCCCTCCCTCAGAATACGGTATTTTGTGTTTAAGTAATGAGAAGCTTGCTGAATGCGGTTCAACCATNGAGATAAAGGAGGGAGCGTTGTCGAAAAAAGATGAAGCCTAGTCAGCCATGTTTATATGAGCCACTAGTACTGCCATCTGTTAGAACTTCACAATACTTTGATGGAATAATGCCCAGAATGATATTTTAAGAAATCTAATAAACATATTTACTTAAAAAACTAACAAAAAAAATGTAATAAATATTAATTATAGATATTATATTATAGATATGTATAACATTTAATAAATATAAGTAACTAAATAAGTAAATGAAAAAAATAACTTATAAACATAATTTACTGTTCTGCAAATAATATTAATTTATTATAAAAATGTCTCTTGCTTACATTATTATTCTTATTATTCTGTTTTACAATAGAAAAAAAACTTGTCTGTACATATTTTATTATAATACTTTTAATTAAATTTATTCTATGACATGTTAAATAGATCATATAAATGTGTTATCAATTCTTCAAATATATTAATCATATTTAAAGTTAAAAGTACATTTTGTGTAATATAAAGAACGAAATATTTTGAACTAGAAGTTATATTATTTTCTTTTATAGCAAATCTGATAATCTTTTCTGTTTCAAGGCATATTTTTATCACGCTTTCTGAAGGATATGTTAAACTTCAACGATCTTTTATTTGTATAATTTTCTTTGATTTACTATTAAGGCATTAACACAAATATCACACATGATGTATTTAATTAAATGTCTTATAATAAATCTAGCTATGTAACGTATGACTTCTATAGAATATTGATCTAAAGTAATAATATTATAAATTAATGCTGCAATATAAGGATGATCGTGTTTAACTGAAATTTGATTAATATACTTATCAGTGTCAAATTCATAATTATTGATCATACGATCAATCATACAAGTTTTATTTATTAATTCCTCTGGTTTAAGTACAGAGGTTACACTTTCTTCCTGTCACTAACAGATTAATACGCATCAACGTCAAATAATACTACTATCAATGTGTTGAAATCAGCCGTGGCTAGTCGCGTATCTTCGCAATGAGAGGCACGAGGCCCGAGAAAGGGAGACGCACGAAGTCCAAATATGGGCATAAATGGTCGAGCGTCATTATGCGCAGGCGCATCTACCAAGTGAGTGCGAGCGAGACAAAGCATTGGAAAGAACTCGAGAAAGAGAAATGCCCAAGCGTGCTTGAATGTTCACCGTATGCGCACAAAGCAGCTGGAGAGAGAGGCTACTATATTGTCTGCACCGTAACGGTGAGCTTCAGGTCGGCACCGTACTAGCAATATAGGAGTATTACATATCAGAATCCAATACTAAAACATAATCGCAAAAAACAATAAACCACAAATAAGCAATTAACAAAAACTCACTCAATTCAGTTTGAACTGCACATTAATACTTCGTCTCACGTGTCGAGATGGATTTCTTGTAAGCACACAACAGTGTCACAGAGATAAACAAAGTACTGATGCTCAGCCCTTACAAAACAGGTCTTATATGTCTAAATCCCCCCTAAGACATTAAGATGGGTATGTGTGTACGAACAACACATCTCGCAAACATGATCAAACATTTTGTTTTGTTTTGAGAGACTCTATAAAGGAGAAGAGGTTTTAAATTTTCCGTATCTGCCATTATGTTAATAGCATTAGTCTGTAATCTAATACCGAACAAAATACCTTTTCAAAAAAAGGTAAAAAAAGACGCCAAGGACATGCGCAACTCGTATCTCTAGAAAAAGTATTTCTACCAAAATCTTCTTCTACAAGATCTATTCTACAAAAGAAATGATATCAATAAGTTACGCCAAGTAAAATCTTTTATACATGGTTACAAAAATATATACAATATATAAAACTTTGTAAGTTGTTTATACTTTGTAAAATAGAAAATATTCTAAA